CGCCTGCTGCCTTGTAACGGTCGCATACATAAATCAAGCCGGCCATTTTAGCAATTAGCAAAAAATTACCAACAACGTAAGTGCTTGTACTGGTATATACATATATATGTATATGTATGTGTGTGAGTGCTGCTGCTGCTGCTGGCCAAAATAGTTTGCGCCAATTTAGATAAAGCTTCGAGCTAGTGGGCGTTGGGCGTCTGTTAGCAACAGCGGCAGCAACAGCAATGGCAACACAAAATCACGAAACACAAGAACAACATCTTCAAGTGTCGCCATTTTGAGTGAGAGAGCGCGTGAGAGAGTGTGCGTGTGTGTGTGTGTGTAAGAGCGTGGACAGTCAGCTCAGATAACGGTCAATTTGCATTTTAATTGAGCGCTTGTTTGACGCGCACACATCTAAAGCCTATCGCAGTTTTTGCTCTTCCACTCTCTCTCTCGCTCTAGCACCTCTCTTCTTCTTCATTTTTTTGGTTGTGCAGCTTTTATTTGCATTTTAACTGCCAGCGGGCTAAACGGGTGGGCGTGTTGCACCTAATTGAACTCTTATGACATCAACAGATCAAGAGCTTAGAGCAAAAGCCTCCAAGTGTGTGTGTGAGTGTGTGTGAGAGGCAGCTTAACTTCTTGTTGCCAAACGACTAAAAATAAAAAGAATTCAAAAACAAAAACAGTTCTAGCTGTTTCGTGTGATTGTTGTTGATTTGGTTCTTTTTTGTTTTTTGTTTTTAAGCAAATTGATTCAGTAACCGGTTAGACTCTGAATACATGTGTGTACATATATCATATGCATATGGTTATTGAGCAGATCTGGCAACTTCTTGTTTTTGCAAGGGTTGTATTTATTTTATGTTTTGCATAGTGTACATAGTGTGGAGCGTAAGGCGAACATGGTACAATCTCTGGCACATCACTCTTCCAGCTTGTTCTTCATTTCGCCTGTTCACTTAACTCATTCCTCTTCTTCTTCATCTCTTCGCCAGCTGCAATTGGCATATTTCCGAAATGGAACGTCAAATTAATGCTGAAAAAGTTCAGCGGAACACAGGGTTAAAAGCTGCGCTTGTTCGCAGTTACGGCAACATCAGCAACAACAACTGTTGCAGTTGCCCGCGGCTGCACGATGGAAGGGAAGAAGCGAGGGGAAGAGGAAGAGGCGAGAGGTTAACGGTAACTGGCAACTGCTGAACTTCATGGCATCGCTGCCATTGTTCTTCTTCTTAACTGTATTTCAATGACAATGAGGTCGGTCGCTCACTCATTCCCATTCTCCACTCTCCACTCTCCCAATCTGTCATTCTCTCCCGCCTCTCTGTTTCACTCTTTTGCTGATTGTAATTAAAATATTACTCCATTCATTTATTTTTATATGTCTTTCAGGTAAGATTTTTTTTTTTTCGATTTAATTTTCATTGAACCTGCGGCTTCCGCGTGCAGTTAAATAATTATTTTTAATGTTATAACGCCTAGGCCGGGGGGTGAATCACGTCGAAAAAGTGGACTGAAACAAGTCACAAGCGAAAACAAAAGTCTGGCTATGTTCATAGTTCTGAAAGGTCTTTAAAATAAGTGAAACAACAATAAGAACGACAATAACGCGCTTAACCAAAAAAAAATAAAAAATACATAAATAAATACAAAAACAAGATGATGAAAAATATAAATAAATAAGTAATAAAACCCATGTGAATAAGAGAGAGAAAGACAAAGACCGGTTTACAGTTCACGTTCACGAATTGTCGCCGCAAAAAAATAAACAGAAAAAAGATCACACACAGAAAATATATACAAATGACAGTGGTTCACAGTAAATTTTTTGTTTAGACACAGAAACTCTAGATGAGTCGCGTAGAAATACAAACATAAATCTACAAATAAGTATTAAGTAATTAATGCCTTAATGGGGCTTTCTTGCGAATTATGAATGACAAACCGTTGTTTTCTGAGAGCTTCTTTTCGCATTGAAATGAAATGAAAGTCTAGCTAGTCTAGGGTCAGCACGCCATAAAGGAACTGTGAAATGTGGCTATAGCTGAAAAAAACAATAATAATAACAAACATACCAAAGGAAACGGCTGCGCTCTGCACATAGGCAGCACTGGCCGCCAGCAGCGTGAGCAGCGCCCAAGCGCTATAAATTTGCATTATAGCATTGCAGCCGGTTGCTCCAGCTGCGCCGGCGCCGACGCAGCGTCGACTTTGACGCTGGCGTGCGCAGCTGACGCAAATGTTCGCCGTGGACCCAGACGGAGACGCAGTCGCTGCAGCCGCCATTTTTATCTGCGACATGTCTAAAATTCAGCTACACTTTTTGTTTGTATTTGTTGTTATTGTATTTATTGCTCTTTTGTATTTGTTTTTGCTTTAAAACGGCTTTTTAGTGCCGTGCCAATTGTGGTTGGATGGCTTCACTTTTCCTTGGTTTTCGCTCTTTTCGTTTCTTCGGCGCATTACAGAAACACACTCACAATTTGACTCTTCACTTAGAAAAGACCAATTGCATAATATATCATAATACGTTCGATTTGACATACAATTCTACACATACATATAAATGAGCGCGAGACGCGAGTGTCACCAAAAAATTAGCGACAATTACTTTTTGTAAATTTATGCTCTGAGTTAAATGCACTCGCGCGCCCTTTTTACAGTTGGTTAGAGAAAGACGAAGACGAAAACGAATACGAAGACGGAGACGGAGACTGGGCCATGCACTGCGCCACCCTCGACTCTCGACTGCGCTGTGTGTGAAGCGCGCTGACTTTACTAGACTTGTTGCGACGAATGATCGAACCGAACTGAGCGCAGCTTTGAGCGATGCCAGCCGACGATGCTTTACAATTGAGTCGCCGTTCGACAATGTTGGCACTTTAGCTTGGCCGCCGCTAAAAACTAGCTTGCTCGCGAGTCGCGAGAGTACAAGTAGCCAATCTCTATTATAATGCTGAAATTTTAGCTACTTTAATTCCTTTTTGGCATTAAGTGTCTTAGAGTTAGTCTTTTACTCATACTTTGAATTACTATATTTATACATATTTAGCTTTAAATAGTTTCAAGGCTGGCAGCACTGTTCATGGCTTAGCTATCACATTGTTGTTTAAGCTTGCTCTTAACTCAGATATTGTCTCTCTTAAATTTATTGCAACTGCTCGTAAACAACTCACATGTTACACGAAAACAAAAACAATGCCAAGAGACGCCCGAATGTAATGTTACAAATCAACTAACAAAGCAGACACGCTTAAAGAAGCAAACAAACAAAATGTGGAGAAATCGAAATCTTTTGCACACAAAAATAAAGTCCAAGCTAAAGCAGCTCCTCTTCTTCTTCTATATCTACCTGATTCACCCACACCAGCAGGCGCTGCTGCGGCTGTTGCTGCGGCCGCTGCTGCTGCTGCTGCTGGTGCTGCTTTTGGCAATCACTGCAACAGTTCTGACTCATGGAGCTTACGGCGTCAAACGGATTTTTGCATTTTTTTTGTGTGTGCTTTGTTCCTTATTTTTGTTTTCGTTTTTTCATCATTTTTTTCTTTGCTGGTTTGGGGCTTTGGTCTTGGGCTCTGTAACCCAATTTTAAAACGAGTTGCAGTAAAAGCTCAGCGAAAAAAACGCATGCATGGGAAGCAGAATACGAAAATTACAGCGAAAGGCGTTGTAAGAAATCGAAAACAATTCAAACAACATATGTCAGTGTATGCGTGTGCGAGTGCGCATATGTGTGTGTGGGCGTGCGTGTGTGTACTCGCCGTGAGGAATGAACAGCAAGGCAAATGCAATTGAGTCACATTTTTCTTGAAGAGATCTTTAACCGTTATTAAATTACATGCATTCAATTCTGTGCTTTATTTTCGAGTAATTAATCAATGAAGCGTTGACTCAATCGATCCCTATACAAATTTATTGCTATTTTTAGTGCTCGCAAAACGCGTTGCCATAAAGAGCAAAGGAAATGCCCATTGAATGCGTAAACTTTGCCTAAAATAGACTTTAAAACAAAATCAATAGAAATCGACAAAAATTAGCTTAAGTAAATGTGATAATTTGTATGAAGCTTTGAGTTACTAATTAAGTTTTAAAAATAACCAAAAACCAGAGAAGTGCTATTTGAAGTTGAAATTTGTTGAAAAACTAGTTTTCACTAGAGTTTATCAGAAATTTGTTCGATGGAACTTAATTGAGAGAAGATATAAAAAACAAATATGTGTATCTAGATATATACCAAAGGTATTTATGCCATTCATTGTGATATTCATATAATTATAATATTTTTTATCACTATTATATCATGAAAATAACATTCAAAAATTTAGAGATGGATATAAATTTATATTCAAATCTATTTTATTTATGGTCAAAAGATTTAGAGATATAAAGAAGTAAATTTAGCTAGGCATTTTAGAATTTTTATTTCATTGGAATCATTTGAAGTCCTTGACTTTGGTATACAATTCTTCTTTAGGTCTTTGTTCCAAGTGTGAATTGAATTCTTTCGATTATTCAATAAAGACATAAAAAACATTATAACATTTTTTTTCCAGTCTTCAAAGTCTTTTTAGCTCATATATATATATTATTTATGAATTTATTTAAGACTTGCAATATTTTCGTTAAAAAACTGTACAAAGTAAAAACAAAAAGTATATATAATTGAAATGTTAAAATAAATGAACTCAAGGCTTCAGTCAAAAAACTGGGTTTCAGCTTGACGAAAACCAGGTTCTACAGCTAAAAATGTAAGCTTTAAGCCTTGGATTGTAAAACAAAGCCGAGATTGATTTATGGTATTCAGAATGTGTATGTGTATACACATTGATATAAATTAAGGTAAATAAACATGTTTTTAAATAATAAATGTACTAATAATGATATACTAAATACTAACAAATATATAAATACATTTAAAGTCTTTCAGGAATCTCCATTTTTACTTTATTTTTCGTTAACTATTTGGTTATAATAATTTTATTCCATATTCTTAATAATATTTTTCTGATTTTAATTTTTTAACTCACATATTTTCTGGAAATAATATATTATTTTCTGTTATTTGTCAGACTCAAGATGATTGAAAGATATATGAAACGCTGATTGCATAAGGGAGAAGACCTCAACAGCTCAAATTACGCTGTTTGCACTGCGCACACACACAGTATAAATATAAGTATGTATATCTGTCTGTACATATGTCTGTATGTACATAAGTATATGAGCACTTATATATGCGTATATGCGTGAGTGTGTGAGAGAGTGTGTGTGCATTTATGTTGTTGTCAACTCGATCCGGCAGCGACAACAACAAGCAATAGCCGGTTATGTTCGCTTTTGCTCGATGCTATAAACAAACAACGACAACAACAAAACAGGCCTCATTTATGCACTGCATTTTTTTTGCAGTTGTTGTTTGTTAGCCACGTTTTTAGCTATTGCATTTAGTTGGTGTTGTTATTGTTGTCTGGCCAAACAACTGTTGTTGCCGTGCAGCTAAAAATAAACGGCATAATTATAGACGTTGCCAGCGACTTGTTGCACTCACTTACGCAGTCCAACTTACACACACGCACACAGAAGCACACGCTCGCACAATTACACAGACCGCACTCTCCCGCTTCTCCAGCTTCGAACCGGCCAAGCAACTGCAAAAAAAGAGCTCGAAATATTCAAAGAGCTTAAGCGTTGAGAGCGCGTCTTCAAAGAGCGCGCGCTCATGCTGCTCATGGCATGGCTTTATGCGTGCTCTTCGCTGGCCTTTGGTCACGTCGTCCATAGCCAAAGGCAATCGGGGCAGCGCTGATAGGTCACGTATGCGCATTCGATTAGTGAGCGTTGCCATCTGGTCCTGTTATCACTGTGTGTGTGTGCGGTTAATCTGTGCTGCTGGCCAACCTTGGCCTAAATGTGTCTTGACCAGCATTTTGTATGACTCTTAGATTGAAGCTTAAGAAGTTGCTCGAATGCTGTGGAAATGCTTAACATAAATCAAAAGCTTGAGCTTAGCTAAGACAATAACCAAATGAGGGATGTGTTAAAATATATTTGAAACAAACTCAAATTTAGCTAAGACAAAACCCATTTTCATTAAAGTTCAGCTCAAACGTAACTAAGACAATAACCAAATGTGGAACTCTGTTAACTTTTAATTCACTAACTCAAGCACACATAATTGAATTGAATTGAAATTTTTGCTTCGATCAACTGTAGCTAAGACATAAACCTATTACGTAGCTGATCTAAACTGTTAAATACTATTTTAAGTACAACTCAAGCTTAGCATAAATTGTTATTTGTCTCTGCAGTCTGAAATTAGCTAAGACAACAACCAAACACAATGCTATGTTAAGTTGCTGTTGCCTTTTAAATTTAATTTACTTTAAATATTTAGTTTCCACACAATTGACTTTAATTAAATTTGTTTTTATTAATCACGTAAATTAACTTAAATTACGATAATCATCAAGAATATATTTACAACATTGAAATACTACGAAAAATAAAGGAATATACGCACTGCGAACGTTCAAACCCTTTGCATAAAATGTGGTTAAATTTTGCATTTTCTCTGTGAGTGTGTGTGTGTGTGTGTGTGTGTGGGTGTCACAATATAATGATGTATAGAATCTTTGTATCTAGTACAAGAATAGCTCGAGTATCTAAATGGCATAATGTCTCTCTGTGTGTGCGCATGTGTGGGTGTGTGTGCGTGTGTGTGAGTGTATGAGTGTGCATGGGTGTGTGTGTGTGTGTGTGTGCGTGTGCGTTTATCTGCGACGCAGCTGCATCATGGTCTCAATGGAACTCTGATCTAGCGTGGCAGCATGCTCCAGATCCTCACTGCTGGCATTCTCCTCGGCCACATTGACGAAGGTGCTGGATAGTTCGCCATTCAGTTTATTCACGCCGCCCGTGGCAATGTCGTACATAAAGATCTCCTGCTCCGCGCTCTCGCTGGCTCTGCATAAGAAGAGAGAGATAGAGAGAGAGAGAGAGAGAGAGAGAGAGAGAGAGAGAGGGGGAGTCGAGTTACACTCAATTATTCATAGTTTCATATTCATCTACTCACTTGGCCACCAGCAGCACCACCGACTGCAGCTCAATGTCTGTGCGCGCCTCCTTCTCCAGCCAGCGCTTGAAGTTGTCCTTGGTGGGCTTCTTGAGCAGCGTCCTGACCAGCTCGCCGCCCAGAAACTTGATCTCCTTGCTGTCCACAGTGCCGGCGCTGTTGCTGCCGCTGCTGCTGCTGCTGCTGCTTCTGGCCTCGCTGGTCTGTGGTTGCGCCTCCACTGGCGCCAGCACCACCACGCTCACGATCTTCTTGCCCAGCAGCTCCTCGCTGTCGGGTATGGGAAACTGTGCCCCGTTGATCTTCAGCGGCAGATAGCGATTGTACTGCTGCCGCTCGGCCAGCTCCACGGGCGTCACCACTGTGGCATCCTGCCGCACGTACTTGTCGCTCACGCTCTGCCCCTGGGCCGCATCGTAGCGCACCACCTTCACGTCCAGATTCTGTTTCTGGGGCAGCGAATTCACCTGCTTCACTCGATCGATTTGCTTCTCGCTCAGCGCCACTTTGTCGCCATTGGGCTTGACCACGGTGAGGACTTTATTGGTCTCGGCTATCTGAGCACCGCCTCCTGCTCCGTAGAAGTGCTGCAGATGCTCCGCCGGCAGATTCTCCAGGGCAATGTCCCCCTGCTTGTCGTAGTCCAGGATGGAGATGTCGGCGTTGTTCAGAATGCCGGAGGAGAGGAGTTGCTGGCGCAGATCGTCGGGCACCTCGTCGGGCAGCTGCAGCAGCGTCTGCGATGCCTTGCCATTGGGCGTGGCCGAGGGTGATGGCGAGGTGGGTGCAGCAACAGTTGCAGCTGCAGCGGCTCCTGCTGGTGTGACATAGGTCGATTGCTGTTGCTTTGGCTGCTGCTGCTGCACCTGTTGCTGTTGCTGCTGCACCTGTTGCTGTTGCTGCTGTTTCTCCTGTTGCTGTCGCTGCTGCAGCTCCTTGAACACATCCGAGTGGTAGGTGGAGACGCTGAAGGGTGAGTTGTCCACAGCTGCGCTGCTCGACTGCCTGGGCTGCTGCTGTGCGTAGCTGATGCTGTTGCTGTTGCTGGGCTGCGTCTGCGGATGCACCTGAATCACCTGCTCATGGTGCGAGGGATACTGATTGTAGCTGGCGTAGCTGGATGAGGGCGGCAGGGGCGGGACCACCATTACCTTCTGGCCATGCGTGGACTCGGCATAGATAGGGGTCGCTTCGCTGGCAAAGTTCAATTGCTGCTGTTGCTGTTGTTGCTGCTGCTGCTGCTGTTGCTGTTGCTGCTGTTGCTGCTGTTGCTGCTGCTGCTGCTGCTGCTGCTGCTGTTGCTGCTGTGTGGTGCTGGCTGTAATGTAGTGACCCGTCAGTGGCTGAGCTTGAGGCTGTGGCGCATTGGGTGCCAGATTGGGTGCGGGAATATCATGAATCACTTCATTACGATTGCTGCTGTAAGCGAATGACTGATGGGAAACATGTTGCTGCTGCTGCTGTTGCTGTTGCTGCTGGCTGACAATGGGATTCTGCACCGTCTCGGTGATGTGCTGCTCAAACTTGGGTATGGACTTTAACAGCTCCGTCTCCTTGGAGGGCTTTATGTCAAAATAGTTGAGCGCTGAGTACTTATGTTGCTGCTGCTGCTGTTGCTGCTGTGCATAGTAGTCGGTTGCTGGGGTGGGGGAGCGCACGGTGAACTGCGGCTGCTGCACAAATTGCGGCTGTCTAATGAATTGATAAGGTTGCGGCTTAGGCGTTTGATATTGTTGCTGCTGTTGTTGACGTTGCTGTTGCTGCTGCTGCTGCTGTTGCTGTTGTGGCAGCTGCAATGGCTTGACTTGCGGCGCTGGCGCTGGTGTGGGTCGGAATTTGATGGGCTGATATGGCGTTTGGCTGGCACGCGTTGGCAACTCTTGACTTTTTGGCGGTATTGTGGGAAAGAATGGCACCTGAACCTGTTTGTGTGGCGGCTTCTGATATTGCTGCTGCTGCTGCTGCTGCTGCTGCTGTGGCTGCGCTGTTTGATATTGCTGATTGTGATTGACATAGAACTGAGATTGCTGCACCAGCTTGTTGAAGATGGTCTGAGAGGATGTGGCAGGCAATTGCTGCTGTGTTATGCTGGGCCGTTGCTGTTGCTGCTGCTGCTGCTGCTTCTGATAGTAATGTTGCTGCTGGGATGACTGCTGCTGCTGCTGCTGCTGCTGCTTGGTGGGCAGCGCTGGTGGTGCTCTAAAATAGTTGCTGTTGTGCTGCGACGGCAGCTGCTGCTGCTGCTGGCTGCCAAAATGCAAATGTTGCTGCTGCTGCTGTTGATGTTGCTGATAGTTGTTGCTGCCGAAGAGCAGATTGGAAACGGGACCGCGCGCAAAGCTGCTCTCGCGTCCGTAGTCGGCGCGCGTGTTGGTCAGCGGCAGCGCCACCACCTGGCGCTGAATGCTCTCCGCGTCGTGCTCCTCCAGGATGTGGCCCGTCTGATGCTTGTTCTCGGCGCCGAAGGAGACGTGAATGCCGCTGTTGCTGTGGTACTTCTCCGAGTCGGGGTGGATGATGGTGCGCAGCGTGGTCGACTTGAGGGGCGGCAGGGGCGTCACCGGGTACTGAATGATCTCCTCTTCCTCCTCCTTCTCCTCGGCATCGTCGTCGTTGCTCAGCGAGGCGATGGGCGACTCCAGGTGCAGCTTGTTGTTCTGATCCTTCTTGTAGTTCACATAGAAGACGTGCACCTTCTCCTTCTTCTTCTTCTTCTTGGTGATAATAGGCTGCGGCGGCTCCGCGGCCAGCGTCTCATTGGCGTCCTTGATGATGATCTCGATGATGGGCTCCGGCGCCTCCAGATACTGCGGATACGGCGCATAGGCGCTGCTGTAGCTGCCCGGATATTGAGCTGCCAGACGAGAGGAAGAAGCTAATGAAACTGAAGTCATGTCAGGCAGTCCCCCCCGCTGCTTACCCAGCGCCTGCTGTCCATTGTAGTAGCCCGGATAATAGTTATCCACGTAGCCCGCCCGGCGGCTGGCCACCTCCGGATACAGGAAGCCCGCGTTGCCGAAGTCGTAGAGCGTGCGCTTGCCCCGATTCTCGCCGGGCAGCGACTTCAGGGATTTCGATTGGCGCGTCGTGCTGGTGGAACTGGTGGAGCTGTTGGAGCTGTTGGAGCTGGGCTTCTTGGTGGCAACGGTAGCTGGCTCGGGTTTCGTCTTGGCTTCACTCTTGGACTTTGAAGTGGTTGCTGCTGCGGCTGCTCCCACAGCAAACAGCGCCAACTGCAAAAGAAGCAGAAGAAGAAGAAGAAGAAAAAATCAGTTTAACGATTCCTAATTTGTTTATTTAAATTTTGAACTTTTTTATTTTGGCAACATATTTAATTAATTTTTTGTTGTGGCCTGCACAAGGTCGAGACCCCCAAAAAGATGCGAGCTGAAATAATTTAAAGATATGCGTATAACAAAAAAAAAAAAAAAAAAAATTAAATAAACACTTTTACCGCAAAAAACTACAAAATGTTGAACAAATTTTTGTTTTTATATTTCTTTTTTTTTTTTTTTTTTTTGTGAATACCCAAAACGAGGCAAATTAAAAAACAAACATCAACAGCAAATATCAAGATTCGCCCTCTATACCTCTCCCTCTCTCCCTCTCCCTCTCTCTCTTCCTCTCGGCTGTGTCAAAAATTAGCCGAACAAATTGTGAACGAGGAACGTGGCTTGAATCCGTCTTTGGCATTGGGTCAATGTCAAGTGGACAGCTCTTTCGGCCACAAAAGCCAATCCAGAGAGAGAGAGAGAGAGTGAAGGAGAGAGAGAGACAGAGATGAGGCGCTGCTGGACTAAGGGCAAATCTCATCAATCTTGGGCAGTTGAAGCTAAGCCCTCATCGAATCTATCTGTGTCACAGTCCGGCCTGAGTAATCGGCCTATTTGCCACACGTAGCCGTGAAAGTTGCGCTGAAGCGACGACTTGAATTTCAATTTCAACAGTCGCAATTTGCATTTCGACACTAAACGAGCAGCAATGCAGGTGACTCAACAAGCACACACAGGTAAACACGCACGAAAACCCACTTAGTAATTAAATGAAATCTGCATAATATTTATATGCGCTTTGTGGGAAAAGATATGAGTGTATATGAGTATGGGAAGGACATGGAGAAGTAAACAAAATCGGAGAAGTCAATTGTGCACCAGAAGCTGGAGACGATATTATGCATATAAGGGGCTGACATTTATTGAATTTGTTAACACTAGTATTATCATAATGATGATCAATTTCTGCATCATTATCACTCTCAAAATTATTATATTTACAATATTGATAGTCGAT